CCAATCTGGAGAGAAAATCTACCAATCTGGAGGGAAAATTTACCTATCTGGAAGAAAAATCTATCAATCTAGAGAGAAAATTTACCAATCTGGAGGGAAAATTTATTAATCTGGAGGAAAAATCTACTGATCTGAAGGGAAAATCTACCAATCTGTAGGGAAAATCTACCAATCTGGAGAGAAAATCTACCAATCTGGAGGGAAAATTTACCTATCTGGAAGAAAAATCTATCAATCTAGAGAGAAAATTTACCAATCTGGAGGGAAAATTTATTAATCTGGAGGAAAAATCTACTAATCTGAAGGGAAAATCTACCAATCTGTAGGGAAAATCTACCAATCTGGAGAGAAAATCTACCAATCTGGAGGGAAAATTTACCTATCTGGAAGAAAAATCTATCAATCTAGAGAGAAAATTTACCAATCTGGAGGGAAAATTTATTAATCTGGAGGAAAAATCTACTAATCTGAAGGGAAAATCTACCAATCTGTAGGGAAAATCTACCAATCTGGAGAGAAAATCTACCAATCTGGAGGGAAAATTTACCTATCTGGAAGAAAAATCTATCAATCTAGAGAGAAAATTTACCAATCTGGAGGGAAAATTTATTAATCTGGAGGAAAAATCTACTGATCTGAAGGGAAAATCTACCAATCTGGAGAGAAAATCTACCAATCTGGAGGGAAAATTTACCTGTCTGGAAGAAAAATCTATTAATCTAGAGAGAAAATCTATCAATATGGAGGAAAAATCTACCAATCTGGGGGGAAAATCTATCAATCTAGAGGGAAAATCTAACAATCTGGAGGGAAAATCTATCAATATGGAGGAAAAATCTACCAAACTTGAGGGAAAATCTATCAATCTGGTGGGAAAATTTACTAATCTGAAGGGAAAATCTACCAATCTAGAGAGAAAATCTACCAATCTGGAGGGAAAATATATCAATATGGAGGAAAAATCTACCAATCCAGGGGGAAAATCTATCAATCTAGAGGGAAAATCTACCAATCTGGAGGGAAAATCTATCAATATGGAGGAAAAATCTACCAAACTTTAGGGAAAATCTATCAATCTGGACGGTAAATCCATCAATCTGGAGGGAAAATCTACTAATCTGGAGGGAAAATCTACTAATCTGGGGGGGAAATCAAACAATCTAGGAAAAAACCTACCAATTTAGAGGGAAAAAACCCCAAACTAGTTGACGGGCCCGGCGTTGCCCGTGGAATTTTTTTTTTGAAAAACAAAATTGAAAAAATTATCGATTTTTTTAGCCTGTAACACCACCCGGCCACCCGTGAGTGTCCACAAAAAATTTAAGCCCAATTGGTCCCGATGTTTGCCCGGCTATACGCAACATATATACGAATGTCTTGTTTTATTATATAGATTAGAGACGATAAGTCTATAAAGTCAGGCTAATTTTTTTTTATATTTCTACCTTAATTCCCATTTTCTTCTCTGGAGGACCGTTAGTAACTCCTCCGAATGATCTCTCAACAATGAAAGCAGAAACCTACACATTAAAAAATGTTTTTAAGATTTTCAATGCTCCGGAAAAAAAAATTAGACATTGAAATGCAAGTTTTTTAAAGCTCTGTTTTTAATATATTTCACCATAAACTAATCTAAATTCCCCAAATTTAGCGACTAAAACTCTGAAAAAAAAACCTTATTTATGGGTTAAAATTATTTCTGGGGGAAGGGAGAGTTTTCAATTACATATGATTCTCTAACTAAAAAGATATTTTCCTGCTTCGAAATAATCAATTTTCGTCGATTCTTCATATTTGCAAAAAAAAATAAATGATCCATCTTTCATTTCAAAGAATTTGTTAAATCCCCCCGGCCCCAAAAAAAAACATTAAAAATCTGAAAGAAAACAAATATTTACCTTTTCCGTTGTTGTTCCTGTAGCCTCGTCGACAACGGGGGTCTTGGCAAAGACGGTGAATATCTCGGCGATTCCGCCGTTAGAAATCCAAATCTTACCGCCGTTAAGGATATAGTGAGTACCTTCTTTGTTCAGTACAGCCCGGGTCTAAAATATAATATTTTTATTTTATTTTCCGGAAAACAGAATTAGATTTAGTTTTTTTTTGTGTGTTGAAGAGACCTAATATCTCGGAAAACCCCTTTTACGTTTGATATAATTTTTTTTAATCTTTGTTTTCAAATTAGTTATTATGTTTTTTTTAAATCAAACCTTTTTACACCTTAACACTCAGCAAGTACTAGAGATATTTGTAATCATAAAGCGCTTTATAGTTTGAATGTATTTCTGAACAGTGAGAACCAAGAAATAGTTAAATTCTTGTCGACATTAATTCCATAGTTTTCAGGCTCTTACTGAATACCCAAGACCCACCAATCACCACAAAATAGATAAATTGAGAAAAAAAACCTTGATAGATCCTGCGTCACTGCCTGAAGAAGGTTCGGTCAAGGCAAACGCAGCAAAATTTTCTCCTGAACAATATTTGAGATTAAAAATACAATATTTGAGATTTAAAATACAATATTTGAGATTAAAAAGACAATATTCGAGATTAAAAAGACATATTTGAGATTAAAAAGACAATATTTGAGATTGAGATTAAAAAGACAATATTTAAGATTAAAAAGACAATATTTGAGATTAAAAAGACAATGTTTAAGATTAAAAAGAGAATATTTGAGATTAAGAAGACAATATTTGAGATTAAAAAGACAGTATTTGAGATTAAAAAGACAATATTTGAGATTAAAAAGACAATATTTGAGATTAAAAAGACAATATTTAAGATTAAAAAGACAATATTTGAGATTAAAAAGACAATATTTGAGATTAAGAAATTCGTTTTTAACAGATATATCAAATTCCCTAATGTTCAAAAAATATTATTACGATTTTAATTATAGCTTCGTAAATTTTAATTCTTTTTCTTCAGAGGTATGAACTTCATAATGATATTTTTAAAAATGACACGTTTATCCGTTTTAAACTAATTTTTAACCAACAATTCTTGGTTTCAGCATAAAACGATTTTCTTCGACTTGATGCGAACATTCCTACTGAATTGAAGGGAAAAAATATTTTTTAGGAGGGGCATAGAACAAAATTTTTTTCTAGAAAATAAAGATGTTTTGTTCAGAAATGTAAATCTAAAATAGTTGTGGAGTGATGGGGGACTAGAGTTTATGTGGTCTGAAGAGAAGGGTGGGGGAATATTCAAGGGTGTAAATTTTTTCAGAAATACCCTCCCCTGAGGGAAGGAGGGGGGGGGGTGGAATAGATTTTATTTCTTGTTTTTGGGGGAATTAAAAATTGGACATTAAAAGGCATCTTTTTTTCCATACTGTTTTGATACATTTTATCCAAAAATTCATAAACTTTCTACTAAAAATCATTTCGTTTCACCAATTCAGCGAATAAAACTCTAAATAAATCAAAAGGGGATGGGGTGGAAGAAAAATTATTTATATGAACATATACACCCATGAGAATATGGGTTGAAGAGGGGGGGGGTTGAAAAGAGGGATATACGTGTGCTGTTTAATTGGGCTGGGAGGGGGAGGTGAATGGGGATATTGAGGGAGGGTGAGGGGAGGGGGGAGAAATAGGGGATATTGGCATTATCGTAAAAAAAACTTGATCATATTAGATAAATTTTTAGAAGTTTTGATTTCAAATGGTATCTTAAAACATTAAATTTTTTGTTCCAGTTTTAGCCAGATTTACTTCATATTTCGCCAGGATTGCCCTCTATTTACTCCGTATTCCACCAGGATTTTCTCTATTTACTCCATTTCCACCAGGATTGCACTCTATTTACTCCAAATTGCACCAGGATTGCCCTCTATTTACTCTGTATTCCACCAGGATTGCCCTCTATTTACTTCGTATTCCACCAGGATTGCCCTCTATTTACTCCGTATTCCACCAGGATTGCCCTCTATTTACTCCATGTACCGCCAGGATTGCCCTCTATTTACTTTGTATTCCACCAGAATGGCCCTCTATTTACTCCGTATTCTACCAGGATTGCCCTCTATTTACTCCGTATTCCACCAGGATTGCCCTCTATTTACTCCGTATTCCACCAGGATTGCCCTCTATTTACTCCATATTCCACCAGAATTGCCCTCTATTTACTCCATGTACCGCCAGGATTTGCCCTCCTCGGTGAACTTATTAATAATTACTATCTCCTCTAATACAGAAACTAACATCATTAAAAAGTTTTCTTTTATCTCTGCCCTAGCAAACTCATAGTATTCAAATACAAACTTAGCACTTTATAAACTTTACAATATTTAATTCATTTAAATAGAAATTTGGTGCTAAATTTAATTATTATGGATCAGGGAAAAAGGAAAAATCAATCTAAACCAGATATTTTGGGTATGTAGGAAAAAATATAAAGAACCATAAACAATTAAATATTTACCTTTAAGCATAATTTTAAAAATATGCATGAAAGGAATTGAGTCTTTGCAACAAACTCTAATTTTCTAATCCCTATTTTTTTAAACTCCAATGTCGTAGACCTTTGATATTTCAAACTATAAGTTCTGTTAGATCAAATAATATAAGTTTGAAATATTAAAGGTTCACAACATTGGGTTTCAGAGACGAAATATACGATAGTAAAAAATGAAAATCAAAGATTCAGCTGAAATCTTTATAAATAAAACATCGGATGTTTTTGTTAGGTTCTGCTCCTGACAAGTTTACACTGGGAGTGTCAGCATTTTTAGGAACAAAACAATATATATATATATATATATATATATATATATATATATATAAGTATATAGAAATATAAAGATTTATACATTTATTTTTATATATATAAACCTCTTTCATAGTAAATACAAACAATACACAATAATTTTCTTACTTTTAACTGTTTTCTCAATAGTTCTTTGTCCATTGTGACAAAAAGGAACCTTTTCTTAGGGTTCACACTCTTCACAAACCAGTCATAGTTTACAGAACGGGTTAAAGGGGGTGACTGCCTAGGTGTGGTTGTTGAACTGACAGTGCAGTACCTTGTCAGTCACTCCCTTTAACTGAAATGTCCAGTCTAACGTAAATATCCAACGGAATTTTGCCAATCACTTGATTATACCTGAATCTAGAAACAATTGCTTCACAGCTTTAAAATCTTCATGTTTAGGGCAAAATATTATAATTTGGTTAAAAAGGTATAACTTAATGGCGACTGCAGTTGCAATAGTTTATCCATAATAAAGGTTCAGATGGGGCTCTTACGAATTTTTTAAGCCTATGTTACCGCCAGGGTACTCAAGGATTAACTCAACCAATTTTGGCCAGCTATAGCTAAATATGCATACAAATATATATGAGTGAAGAGCTTTATTATATATACTAGCTGAGTTCCCGGCGTTTCCCGTGGAATAAAAAAAACATGAAAACAAAAAGCCGGGCACCCATGGGTTCCCTCAAAAAATCTAAGCCAATTTAGTCCAGCCGTTTGGCCAGCTTTAGCTAACATATATGTATAAAAATATATTGATATAAGCGAAGAGCTTTATTATATGGAATAAAGCTAATGTAATATGAATAAACATATTGTTTACGAAACATAATTTTAAGAACATGTTTTTTGCATACAACTTTTCGTGAACCGTGATGTTTTCGGAATATCTCTTAGCTGCTAATTTCGAAATTTTAAAAAAAGAATACATATGTTTGTATTTTACTATAAATTTTAATCCCCGAAACCAAAACCTCCTGTCATAATCGAGAAAAAGTTGAAACAAACCACAAATTACAAAACATTATTTCATGATGAGACCGAATCAATCCCTCCTGCTTTTTATCAAATGTTAACACCATTATCATTCTTCAATTAGGTACTTTCAGTTCTAATCATTCTGTAATCATTATAAAATCATTCTGTAATAATTCTGTAATAATTCTGTAATCATTCTGTAATCATTCTGTAATCATTCTGAAATCATTCTGTAATAATTCTGTAATAATTCTGTAATAATTCTGTAATAATTCTGTGATAATTCTGTTATAATTCTGTAGTAATTCTGTAATAATTCTGTAATCATTCTGTAATCTTTGCTAAGACAGAGATAACTCTTAATTCGGGAAAAATTTAGATAGGTTTTACTAAGGTTATTTTGATATCTCTGCAGGTTTTACTAAGGTTTAGCTCTGCAGGTTTTACCATGGTTTAAATATCTCTGCAGGTTTTACCAAAGATCAGATATCTCTGCAGTTTTTAAAAAGTTTAGGCATCTCTGCAGTTTTAACTAAGGTTTAGCTCTGCAGGTTTTACCAAGGTTTAGATATCTCTGCAGTTGTTACAAAGTTTAGGCATCTCTGCAGGTTTTACAAAGGTTTAGATGGCTCTGCAGGTTTTACCAAGGTTTAGACATCTCTGCAAGTTTAACCAAGGTTTAGACATCTCTGCAGGTTTTACCAAGGTTTAGACATCTCTGCAGGTTTTACCAAAATTTAGACATCTCTGCAGGTTTTACCAAGGTTTAGATATCTCTCCAGGTTTTACCAAGGTCTAGATGTCTCTGCAGGTTTACCAAAATTTAGACATCTCTGCAGGTTTTACCAAGGTTCAGATATCTCTGCAGGTTTTACCAAGGATCAGATGTCTCTAAATGTTTTACCAAGGATCAGACATCTCTGCAGGTTTTACCAAGGATCAGATATCTCTGCAGGTTTTACCAAGGATCAGATATCTCTGCAGGTTTTACCAAGGTTCAGATATTTCTGCAGGTTTTAACAAGGATCAGATATCTCTGCAGGTTTTACCAAGGATCAGATATCTCTGCAGGTTTTACCAAGGATCAGATATCTCTGCAGGTTTTACCAAGGATCAGATACCTCTGCAGGTTTTATTAAGGTTTGGATATCTCTGCAGGTTTTACCAAGGATCAGATATCTTTGAAGGTTTTAACAAGGTTTGGATATCTCAGATGGTTTTATATCAATAACAGCATGGATGCACATAAACATAGAAGTCAAGAAAAGCTGTCTACTAAAAAGCTTCTCTTTCATTACTTGTAAGCTTGTAATTCGATAAAATCATGTTAACACACTATAGTTTCAGTAGAAGTAAATATTTTCATTTACTGATAGCGCCGATTTAAGGATTCATCTCTAATTGGATAATGAGATAGATAGATATGTTACCGCCATACTATTTCTATTCGTTCAGAAAAAACAACAAACACATGACTGAACCCTGATTGGATCAGGCGCTAATAGACTCGGCATACAGGAGTAAACAATCAAAACTTAATTAAAAAAATCGTCTTCATCGTAGTTATATAAGATTAAGATATCTCCGGGTAGAACTAAGTTTAGATTTTTTCGGTTGTAAATCAAGTTCAGATATCTCCAGGGTATAACTGAAGTTTTAATTATCTCCGGGTATAACTAAAGTTCAGATATCTCATTATTTGAGTAAAGTTCAGATATCTCCAGGGTATAACTGAAGTTCAGATA